CACGTCTGAGACGTAGGCCCGACAGTATTTTTCAAAGGCTTCGCGGGGGTGGTGCAGTTTTAGCTGCTGCTCCTTCTCGGTCACCTCCGTGGGCTCCTCGCGCATGGGCCAGCCGCTGGAGGTGTAGTCCAGCTGTGAGCCTATCACTAGATCGCGCATCTCCGGCTCGCTCTCGCCAGGTATGTCTGCACGGATCTTGGCGGACAGGTCCATGGCATGCATGTCGGACAACCAGAGAAGAATGTGCACGTGGACCGTTCCACGCCCGTGGTAGAACTGATTATTCCGATACACATGGCGCTTCCGCTTGCCGTCTTGGAATTCCAGCCTGGCCACCCAGTGACGAACTTTGCCTGGGCCTTCTCCGGAGGTGAAGACGTGCTCTCGCTTGGCTTGCATGCCTTCGTTGGCGCCAGTGAGAAGACCTTTGACTGCCTGGGAAAGGACGTGGGCCAGATGTAAAGTCTCGGCCACCGGCGCGTCGAGTCTGGCACGAAGAGATTTGGTCAGCTCGTCCTGTAGCCACTGGTGATACGGGAAGGACCACTCGTAGGGAGCGATGGTGATGAATAGGCTGGGCCACCCGATCTGTCGCTGCAGGTCCACCAATGCGGTGTGGTAGGTGCGCCACAGCTCGGGCGAGTAGGGCTTTGCGGCCAAGGCCTCGCGCACGCCTCCGGTGCCGGCGCTGTTCTTGGCTCCCCCGATGGTGGTGAAGAGCCAGAGATCGTACACGAAGTGCAGCAGCAGCGGATCAGAGTTGTATCCGATCAGTGCGGAATGGGCTTTCGCTAAGAAGCTTGCCTTGGCGCTTTGTCTCGACGACTGCTGCTCGCCTGCATCCAAGTCTTCCTCGCCGTCTTCTTGCTGTTCTCGACGACGTCGTTGCAGCCTGCGTGCATCTTGAGATCTGACGTACGTCTCCGTCATGTCCACGCACCAGTATAGGTGCGGCCACAGCGCGCATTCGATGCCGACGGTCTCGATGAAGTTGCTCGGCAGACGTTTGGCGGGCGTGCCTCGCCAGATGTCGCCTCGTCGGATTGCTCTTTCTCTCTGTCCGAGGGTCTTGTGGTGGAGATGCCAGAAGTGGCCGTAGTGGGAGCCCGAGTCGTCTCGCAGCAGATATTCCAAGGCTTTCTCTGCTCGCTCGCGTTGTTTTTTGGG